TTTTTTTTTTAACATGGTGGGAGGTATCTGTATTATATTGTTTAAAATCAATTATCCTTTACTCCATATTCTTTTTCCATTGTTTATTTTATCTGTCCTTTTCTCCCAGAGGGGCAGAATTAAGGCCCCCATTTGGTTTTTATTAGTGTAATCAGTTAATAGCTGTTCTATAATGCTTTACTTATTGTGTTAATTTTCTGTAGTTATGTCCAGAGGCAGCTCCCTGGAAGACTACATTGAAAAAAATAGAAGATCTAACTTAGTTATTTTTAATGGGTCCAGTTACCATTTATAGCTTCAGTTACAATTATTGAATACATTGATTCATAAGGTCATTGAAAATATATATAATCTGCAGCTCCCATTTTAAATATACCTCCAGTAAGCCTAACGCTTTCATCAGGATGGTGAAGGTTGACACGTTGAGGTATCTCACCCATTCTTTGGATTTGGGTGAATGTATCAGAGATATTCGTGTATGTTCTTCCCAGATCTGACCTGTCCTCAGGTGGCTACCCTCTGGGTCACAGGGACCATTGTCCAAAAGCTGTCAGGGCCTTTCATGGACTTGACTATTGTACCCTCCATGGACTTGACTATTCTTGCGAGTAGAACTCAAATTAAAATGGAGCTTCAAAGCAGAACATGGGGACAAACTAACTTACAAGATGGGTAGATACAAACTAATTTACAAGATGGGTAGATACAAGAAGATATTCATGATAAATGTGAGGGGGCCCCCATTTTAGGTTGCATTCGGAATTAGGGGAAAGTATTGAAGCCAAAGAAAATGACACAATGACCAGCACCATGGGTTCTAGATGGACCTTGGGCGTGAGCTAGCTCTAAGATCTTGTGGGACCTCAGTGTCGTCCGTGAAACAAAAAGTTGAGATGACAGTTCTAAGATTCCTCTGACACTCTAGGAAGTGTTTGGTCAGTGATTGCTCTGTGGGGAGGAATCATTAGCAGGGGATTGAATCAGGATTAAAAGCTTCCCATTCCTTGTTAAGTCTCTCTGGAGGTAGGCATGTGCTTGGCACAAAATAAGGGCCCACCATGCTTTCATAATAAACTAGACTTCATTTTTTTTTAAAGATTTTATTTATTTATTCATACAAGAACTGGGGTACAGGCCAGAGGTGTGGGAGGTGAGAGGACTCACCAGAGACAGAGTGGGGAGCAGAACAGGCAGACTGACTGAAATCACTGCTGAGGGGAGCAGTGGGGAGTCAGGAGAGGTCTGCTGCACCATGTGGGGCAGCTCGCTGGCCTGCCGGGGATCGAAGTCATGCTGCAGTGGCTGCCTATAGCTTGATAGCTGAGGCTTTAACCTCTGTGCCACCCATGAGCCCCAAACTAGTCTTCATTTTGAAGCCTACATAAAATTCTGTTTGGAGAACTGTTATTGATAAGATAACTGAGTGGAAATGAACAGACCACAGATGGAAGGACCTGGGAGCCAGGTGGGTGACCCTGGGGAAGTCACTGCCTTCCTCTCTCGCGGTCTTTTCTCCTTCATTTGTCAAATAAAGGGTTTGGAGAAAAATCACCTAAGTAGCTCCTAACTAAAGAAAGTTGGTGACCTTGTAAGAATTGCCTGCCTTTAAAGCAAATTAGAAGGTTCAGATGTTCCCCAACATCTGGTACCAAGAATAGTTAGAGCGTGTTAACTGGGATGCAGTGCTCTCTGGGGACAAGTACTCGAGCTTCTATGGGGCTGTGCTGGGAAGAAGGGACAGAGAGGAGAGCTGAATGCTGAGAGTTGCCTGGGAAGTCTGTGCAAGGAAGGAAAAGAAGGAAAAGAAGTTTCCGGAGGGTTGTTGCCTGTTTGTGAGCTGCAGAATGTGTCAGATGTTGTGTTAAGCTGGTGCAACATTGTCTCAGAGCCAGTGCCCACCTGTTTCCTGTGTTCCTATCCCCTGTGGTGGGGGTGATGTTTGAGAGCCTTTAAGCAGGACAGTCAAGAAGGCCCAGGGCAGCTGGCCCAGCCAAGTCAGCACATGTTTATGTCAATGGAAGAAATTTTAAGACATTTCCAGGAGGAATCTGGGATATAATTTAAAAGTTTTAAAAGAAAGATTCTTAACATAGACATGATTTTCCTCTGTACAGCATTCAGGTAGACCAATTTTCAAGTGCTAAGCTGAAAATTCTAATGGTTGGACTCAAATGCTTTCGTTTGTGCCTTGAGACTTCTGTAATTTTGGAAAAAATTACAAAAATTATTAAGACGATTTTTCAGAGAGATTAATGCAAAAGGCATTTGCTGGTCAACTATAGCAGCAAAGAATAGTCAAGATCGAGAACTAGACTCAAATCATTCAGGGTTCTAGTTAATAGCACTGAACTAAGAAATCTGTGAAGTTGCTTTGATGAGGAAAAACTGTGTGATTGCAATTTTCCTTTCCAATTGCTGTTGGGGATTTTTAATGGGAATGTATCCTATATGGATTTTAGTATTCATGGGACTAGTTCTCAAATTAAAGTGGAGCTTCAAAACAGAGCATAGGGACAACTAACTTACCTGAAGGTTAGTGCAAAGGAGATTCTAAAAAGGAAAGTAATACATTGAGCCCCTCTCTTAGGTGTTTCTCCTAAAATATTTAAAAATCCTTCATGGCATTTACATACACATATGTAAATATATAAACATATGTACATGCATGCACACACACAAACACACATAGATATGTAAATGAATGAATGAATATATATATATATATATATATAATATATATTGGACTATCAGTTCCCTGATGGCAGATAATGGATTTTTTTCCTTTGTTTGTTTTGCTTTCCCTGTGCCTAGCACCTAATAGATTTCTATTTAATGTTTATGAAATGGCAGAATAAAACCACTTTGTTAATTAAACCAAAGTGATTGCATAACAACGAGGAAGCATAGCTGAGCTGGTCTACAGAATTTGGCCAGCATCTGCCTAACCTTTAAAAATCCAGAAACATCAGCGTCACATAACTATGGATTTCTGGAATCTTTTGAAAAATCTGAAGATGTGGCAGCATTTGGTCCACAGACAGGCATGGTGACAGTTAGCTGGGGCCCAGGAACAACTGTCCCCTTTAGACAGGGTCCTTCTTACTTGGCACCATGCCCTAGCATAAGACTCTGGGCCAACATTGCTTTCTTATTTACCAACCTGGCCCATGAGCTGAGCCTTTTCACAAGGAGAGGATGTTTGCTCCTAGGTATATAGGCTTTGAACAGGTTCAAGCTCTAAGTGTGATCGCAACTGTTTTCTCCAGCCTCCCCATTCCCCACCCCCTCAAAAAAAGAGGAGGCACTCTAAGCGAATCTGGAGTGTGCACAATCTTAGGACTTCAATGTGCTCCAGTAGGAACAGAGCAAAATCGGAGCACTAAATGACCCTAATGCCATCGGGTAGGAGTTCATCAGGGAGTTGTTCAAGTTTGTCAGAGCATATTAAAATACAATACGTCCACATTATCAAAAGAATGCATCGGTCCCTCTGTCTGTACATTCCTTTCTGATGAAATTTGTCCAGGGACTTTTCAAAATGACATCACCTACACATTCTTCCTTCCTCAGTGAATAAAAATGTGGGAAGAATGGAGAGCAAATCAGAATAATGCACATTGGTGAAAGTCCTCTAATTGGAATCATTATTGCTTAAGACACCATTGCTTTAATCAGCCCGATCATAAATCAATGTGTTTCACAAGTGAAGGTTTAAAATAAAGTGCTGTTAACCAAATTGGGTCTCTTAAAAGGCATGATGCAATCGGGAAGCTCCTGCAAATGGATAAAAAAGTGGTGTCTGAATGAATATACTGTTTCTAGCATTTTATCTTCTACTTAATTTAAAAAAAAATTACCTGGTCCTTTCTTAGAAATTACATATTGGAGGTCTATAATGGCCAAGCCTTTAACCCATTAAAAAAATTTACTCCCAGGAACAGTTAATATTTGACGTTTAATTGCTTTTTCTTGTTGGAGAAGGAAAATCTGTTTCTTTCCTTCCTTTCTTGATTGACTTTTCAAAAATAACCTTGTGAGCCATAAAGATGGAGAGCAGTAATTGATTTTCAAAAGCTCGAGAGCATGCCCAGGTATTCCCATACGTGTGTGTGTGTGTGTGTGTGTGTGCGTGGACACAAAATTCTCCCACGTACCAGCAACTGGTGTGGCCTTCTCAATAACTCTGCCAGGTAGCTGTTGCTATCCCCACTTGGCAGAGCAGGCAGCGGAGGCCCAGAGAGGTTAATTGCTTATGTAAGGTCACACAGTGGAAGCGATGGGAGGCTGAGTCTTTATTCCTTCTCACAGGTTGCCTGCCTCTAGGTGGACTTCCTACCAGGTAAGCAGATACCCCTGGAGCCAGGACAAGATGTCGTACCATTGGTCCCGGTGGTTGGAGTGACTAATCCTATCAGCTTGTTTAGCTAACACCAGGTTCTGCAGTTTAGCAAATAATGCCACGCCATTCACAAATGTCAGAAGAGCTCAGGTAGGCACCTTCACGAGAAGGCCTTTACTTTCCCACAAGGGAAATGGTAGCAACTCAGAAGAGCTTTCCACTCCGTATTCTGAGTGGGGAGTTCAGATGTATTTTCGTATCAGCCCACACAGATTTAACTTGTTTCAAGAGTAAACAGGGATCAGGGTGTCACAGGGTGAAAAAGGTGAAAAAAATCCTCTGCGAGGTCACCTCAGTTAGAAATTTCCTGTTTCCATAGTCAGTCCCTCACCTTCTCCCGTAGTAAATTTACCACCAGAGGCTAAGGTGTTTTCGTTTCTTTTCTTTGCTTCTTTTCTTTTTTTTTTTTTCTTCCCACAAACCTGGGTATTATTTAGGTCTCTGGCAAAGCTGTACAAACCAACTGTTCCTCCTCAGATTATCGCTTTCAGAGTTCAGGTGATATGCCTCCTTGGGTTACACCTTCCATGTTTTTGTGGTCAGATGTGGGCTGTGTCATTGTACATGATTGCCACCTTGCAAGAAAATATTTATGTGTTAGTTTTCCCAGGTCTTATTTCCTCTGGGAATGGTCCGGTGCGGCCTGTCTGGATGTCAGTGCGGACAGTTGAAGCACTGGCCTTCCTGGACCACCGGACACCTGGCAGAAAACCTGGAAGCCGCTCATCCCCTGGGGATTCCACTCGGCCGAAAACTGTACAAGGTGTGTGGCTGCAGGAGGAGATGTTTCTGAGAAATTGAGTACAATGTTTAGAGAAAGTGCTTGGAAGAAAACTGGCTGATGTTGAGAAAGTGGAAACTTGTATAATTCGTAGAATTACTTTTTCTACATATGGCAGCATAACAGCTTGCTTGTGCACAGTTTTGTTTTTTTTCTTCTGTCTGTTGTTGTTTATTTTCATTTTTTGTCCTTTTTATTCTTGGTAAAAGGTAATCCCCATTGTTCACCCCAGAGTAGTAAAATCGATGCCCCTGTTGCCGTGATGCAGGATGTAAGTAAAGTCCTTGTGGAAATTCATTTAGTTATGTGTATCCAGAGCCATAATTTTTTTTTTTAAATAACTCTTGGTCAAATAGTTTTACTGCTGGCAATCCATACTCACTACCAAAAGATAATCCTCAGAGATGTTGGTAAAACTGTTATTTACAGTAGTTAGAACCTCAATACAACCTCAATGGACATGTTCCCTACAAAATATTTTGATGTTGATAATTATGCAAGCTATGTAATAATTGGAAATTCTTGCAAATGTGGTGGCAGAATAGGCACAATGAAACCAAAAGGCAACATTTGTCTACTTAATCTATGATGGGGGCTATTTATAGTCACTGTCGCCTCTAATCTGTTCTCCAGATTAAGTCAGATTTTATTTTATTTCTATTGTATAGATGATGTAAGAGCATCCTGCAAGGTTGGTTGGTTTATTTGAAGTCAATACAGCTGATAGAAGATTTTGAATGCCACTCATAATTCTTCATGGCTGTGGTTAATTTTAAGTAAACAAACAGATATCAACCATCAACACCCACCCCAACAACCCAACACCAACAAGCAAAAATCTGACAAGCTCTACCTATTTTTCATGTGAAAAAGTAAATAGGAAATCTTCCACCCAGAGAAAATAGCTCAACTTGGAAAAGCTTATCTTCTACAGTTAATAAAAATGACAGGCTGCTCTCTGACTCAGGGAATAAATGTTTTAGCTCCTTTTCTCTGGATAGGAATTAGATAATATGTATGTGATATTTTACTAAGAGATTCTAGTTAATATTTTTCTGCCAATTTAAGGCAACAAATTTTATAAGGGAGCAACTCTTACATGTAGATAGAAAGGACTTAGGAATTTTCTTGTTGACCAGGACCTAAGCCGAGGTTCTTAACTTATTTTGCATGAGAGCATATTTGAAAATATTAAGGGCATCTGTGATCTCTCTCTCTCTTTGGGTCTTTTTCTCTCTAGAGAACCACATATATTAGCATTTATACAACATTTTAAAAATATCTGTTTACTTTGAATTGGGGATCTTTGAAATCATTTAGTTTCATCCTGGTTGAGGATTAAATTTAAATTTCCCTTTCTATTTTGGCTTGCAGAATTTCTTTGTTCCACAGTTGTGGAGATGTTCCTTAGTTAATAGTTCAAATGCTGATAGAGTTTCTTTAGAGTCCTGTTTACGCATGGATAACTAAGTTTTGTAAAATAAGGAAACATAATGAGTGACTTTATAAAAAGTTTTCTTTAATATGATAGTATGATGTTAGGGATCCTTGTGTTTGGATGGGTGACTGAAACTATCTTTTGGATTTTCCATGTTAGAATGAAAAAAATGCACGACATTTATCACCATGAATCAAGGCTGTGCCCAGCAGTGTCATTGGCTTGGTAAAAAAGAGCAAAGCTTCAAAAGGTAAGTGGATAGCATTATGGACTGCTTTCCTTACCATACTCACAGAAATGCACATTCATTAAACACCAAAGAATAAGAGCAAGTGTATAAAGCATAGTGTCAGAGGGAAGTGAAATGGAACATGCAAGCCTGGGAAAGCACCCATCAGAGAAGATTCAAGCACACCTGCATACATGGCCACCCTCAGAAGTGCAAAGTCACCCATAAGCTCAGTGCCCATTCATAGAAGCCTGGCTAAAGAAATTGTGGAATATATCCTTAGTGGAGTACTATGCAACTATTAAAAAGATGAACTAGTGCTTGTGGGACAAAAGAGGATAGATCTTGAGCGGAATGTGCTAAGTGAAATAAATCAGAAAGTAAAAGATAGTTTCTGATGGTCTTTCTCATCTGTGGAAGATCCATCCAGGACTGGGGTGCACTGGGGTTTGAAGTCCTGCCCAGGCATCCTCCGAACACTGCTGCTAGTAGATTATATCCAGGGTGTGACATCACCCCATGACATATTTTCATTGTCAGAAAGAAGAAAATTATTTTTTTACCATTCCTTTTTTTTCTGAAATTGAAAAGCTTTCAGCTGTGAATCCCAAAAGATTTGGGGTGTCCCCTCTACCTCCTGTTCAGGAAGGTGTGACTAGAAGCACAAAGACCAGGGTAAGAGCTCCCTGGGCTGTCTTCTCCAGGAACTACCCTGGGCAGTGGGCTCTGCCTGGGTTACAGAAGACTGCAAAAAACCAGCCATCCTGCATCTGGCCAATTATGCAATGGTTGATCACAAGGGAGAAATTCCTTCCTCACCCCAGCTGGTGAACAGTTATGCCCTGGAGCCCAGGACGGACATGCCTTGTAACTTTTTAACCTAGTTAGTGGAACTGCCAATATTATTCCTATTCATATAAATGTCTAATCCTTTCTTGAATCTTGCTAGACTATTTGCCTCAATAATATCCTGCGGCAGTGCATTCCACAGGTAGATTATACGCTGTTTTAAAAAGTATTTCCTTTTATTCGTTTTAAATTTGTTACCTTTTAATGTCACAAGATGGTCCTTGTTCTTGCATGAAGTGGCATAGGCACAGGCATTTTAAATTGAGTTTTCGTTCTTCCAAGCCCTTTCTTTGTCATTACCAAAACCCACCTTCTTTATGTATTTTCTATGTGTACCCATGTCATCTTGATTTGATGAGATAATTTACATGAACAGTCTCAACTACATAGTAGGCACTGGGAAAAGAAGCCCTTGATAGTCAATGTCAGTTATTGGATAAATAGTTATTGGTTACCTCTTGAGTGCAGGAATTATTCTAAGTATTGGAGAGATTTGAACCACAGAGGGTCCCGATGTTCTAGAGCGTGAAGACAAGAAATAAAATGGTGAATAATGGTATGAACTACATGGTTTCAGATTGTTTCAAATAGGATGGGATAACCAGAAAGCAGTGGCTGGGAAGGAACAGCAGGGGCCACTTCAGATCGCATGGTCAGGGACATGGCCAGCCAGGATTCCTGTCTGATACCCTCAGGAAGGTGACCCCAGCTTCTAACAGGTGAGATGCTATCGTTATTTGTTGAGCAAATAAATGAATCAGAGTTGAGAAGGGAAATCTTTTTTTTTTTTAAGATTTATTTATTTATGCATACAAGAACTGGGGTACAGGCCAGAGGTCTGGGGGGTAAGAGGATTCACCAGAGACAGAGTGGGGAGCAGAACAGGCAGACTGACTGAAATACACTGCTGAGGGGAGCGGCAGGTGAGACAGGAGAGGTCTGCTGCACCATGTGGGTCACCTCCCTGGCCGGGGATCGAACATGTGCTGCAGTGGCCGCAGATAGTTTCATAGGTTGCGTCTTAACCCCTTATGCCACCAGGAAGGCCCTGAAAAGGGAAATCTTAGCTAGGGAAGTCATCTTGTAAGTTAGGCATAGAATTGGGAGGATCGTTTCTTAAATCCCTGTTTTCTGACCGACCCTTAAGTTGATCTTGGCATCCATGCACCTCATGGCATCCATGCATCCCAGAGGTGGCTTGAGTGGGGTGGGTTGACCTTTCTGAGAATTCTATTTCTTAAGAACCTTAAAGATGCTGGTTGTTGGAAGAGGGCGCCAGAAGCATATTTCCAACTGTGGTTGCTCCCGTTTATTTTGTCTGTTGTGTCATCTTCTGAGGTGAGGTGAGTCAGTGTTCTATAGATGAAGAAAGAAGCCTGGTCCAGATTTCTGAGGAGCTCTTCCCCAGAAAGTGAGAACTTGGTTGAAAGGCTCTGACTGCTTGCCTTGCACTTCCCCTGGCTCCAGCTCGGTGGGCATGCGCCACTTCCTCTCGCTCCTTCTTGTTATTCCTTCTAATTGCCCCCCCACCCCACGCCATTTGCTTTTTCCCCCACTTAGGGAATTTGAAGTGCAAGCATGTAGAGCTCTGCATAATAATGCATTAGAGAGGCATTTCAAGGAATAAATTATTAGAATTGTTTACATGCAGAGTTCACATGTATTGGCATATTCCTCAGGCTCAGTTGGTTGAAGTTGCTGCCAGCCAGGCTCCTTCCGGGTTGGCCTCTGAAACAGGAGACACTTCCTTCTGGTAGCCCTCACCGACACTCCCTTGTTCCTCTCCTTTCAACACCTCCCTCCTTTCCTGCCCCCACACAACTCTCTGCAGCTGACAGTCCTTTTACACCTTCACGTGAAGACATTTCATGGGTTCCACCCCCCCAGACAGGCCCCCAAGGCAACTGAGGTGTGCAAAGGAATAAATCTTCAGTGGTATAATTTTAGCCCCTGTGGCAACTGGCAAGGGTGGCTATTTTGGGCTGTGGGGCTCTCTCCGTGACCTGACATGATGGCACTTTGCCTGCTGCCCCTGAGCTCCGCCAACCTGCACATGAACCTGGTAGCAAGGTTTTCGCCTCTCCTGGGGCAGCTTCTTCATTTCTCTGCTGGGCAGCTCTGCTCAGGTCGTGGGTCTGTCCACACGCATCACCCCAGCTCCTCACAGTGACATTCCGAGGTGGTGGCACAGGCTGCCCCTCAGCTTTATCAGCTGCCAGAGACCATTCTGTGCACCTCGCCCCCTCTGAGCAAGGCCAGCGGGCAGGTCTCCAGGCACAGAGTCTCAGCATCCCTCCTACGCAGCCGCCTGAAGCTTTTGTCTGGGGCCCCTCACTTCAGTCCTGACCACCCTGATTGTCTTCCCACTCAAATGCCTGAGGCAGCTGCTCCCTGCAGATTCCCTGCTCTGCTGGGGAAGCGCCTAGGGCTGAGGAGGGTGGGTGGGAGGGCCCCAGAGAGGTCCCAAGGGGGCCCTCAGCGGAGGGTGAGGTTATAGCCAAGATCTGCACTGGGTAGGGTGTCTTCACTGTTCCACTCTAGAAAGTGCACACAAATCTCAAAGATCCTTCTGGCAGAAGGGATCAATTCAGCAAAGAACACAAAATGGGAACAGTTTGTTTAAGAAAGGATTTGAGCTTTTTATGCCAAAAAAGAGAAAATAGGGGACTTTTTATAAATACAAAGAAAGTTCTGGCTCTAGATGGTAGTTCTCTCTCCTACAAATCCCGAGCTATTTATAAAAAGGGGAGAATTCTGGATTTGGGGAGGGGGGAGCAGAGGAGGAAGAGGAGCATCGGGGCGAGCATCGGCATCTCTTGGATAACAAGAGAGTCTGACTGAAGGACAGAAAATAATGGAGGGTAAAACAAAGAGGAAGAAAACATTCAGAGATAACGTTGGTTCCCTTATTTGCTGTTGATTTAATTTTGACAGATGTTAATTGAGAACCAGCTATGTCTGTTCCAGTTCTCTATTTCTGTACGTCATCACTTTTACCCACTTACAGCCCTGGCAGTCATGACATGATCATCTGTCATGGCTCTGCGTGTAGACTGGGCTCTGTTGGGTGGGTCTCTCGCACCCTTTCACGAGGACAAGGTCCAACACCCTCCAAGGCTGGATCACCTCTGCCCCTTCCCTGTCCGCCCCGTGATGGTGGCTGCATCTCTTGCTGCTACCTCAGCTGAGATGGTCAGCTGGACGTCTGTGGTGTCGCTCCCTTCACTCCCTGTGGTCTGAGTTCCTCAGCATCTCACCCCTGTGAGATGACCCTTTCCTGACCCCTCAGACCTCCAAAGGTGAGGGTCCCAAGAGAACAGGGTGAAAGCTGAAGCCACCTCTGTCGTCCAGCCCAAGTACAAACTTTATAAAAATTCCAGTCATTAAGGGCAGATAAGCCTTTTTTTTAATACGAAAAAAAAGCAAAAAGATGTTTAACAATAACATGTCTATCTCCTGTGACTCCAGCATGACCGTGTAACTCGCCCACGTGGCTTCAGATGCCATCTTAGCTAGATTGTCGTGACAGAGGACGTCAGGAGGAAGGGAGGGAAGGCCAGTGAGGGAGGTTACCGGGGAAGACACAGTAGACAAAGGTATGCAGGTGAGCTTCAAGGCCAGCTGCACTTGACGGGAGAGCAGAGATTTGAGAAATGTTGAAGAGTTTGTGGACATGTCTAAAGACTCGTAAAATGTCCACCAGCAATTTTAGCTGTTCCCCACCTCCCAACAGCCAGGGGTTTCCCATGAAGTTGGAGCAATAAAGTCAATTAAGTCATCAGTGAGAAGTCATGAAATATTTATTTCCAAAAGAGCAAGGTGATAGAGGAGCCCAGTGTGCTCCTCTAGGAGGGTAGGGAGAGCTACCCTCCTAGCTCTAGTAGGGTCCAAGGTGAGGCCTTGTATGCAGAGAGGCCATTGGCGGAGTGTGGTCGGGAAGGCCCTGGGCCACTTACCATTTGGAGAACATTCCCTGACTCTGGAGCAGGTGTTCTGGCTCGTCTTATTCAAGCCCAAATGTTTGTCCTCAATAACTAACCTTCTTCTTACCTGTCTTGTCTTCCTTTGCCCCACTTCAGTGACCAATGTCCTTTCTTTCAATTACTTTATTCCTCTAATGTCCTAAACTCCAGCAATGTCATTATTTCTCAGGGTCATCACTTTATCCTTTCTTTGTGTGAACAAGACTTACCACCTATTCCCCTTCCTTCCATATTTGCTACACCGTTGCATTTTTCAGACCCATGGACTCTCCCTGCTCTGCCTCACTTGATTGCTTGAAATATGTATTTTCGTTTTGGTTTCTTCCTTTATGGCTATTATCTCTTGCCTTCTAGAATTGTCTCTTATATTCCATGTAGCTCATGCCTTTCTTCTCTACTCTGATTTTTCTGATCCTAGGAGCAACTTGCCTGCACAGTGTCACGGAGCAATGACCTTGGGGCACCCAGTGCTCAGCGTATCCATGAGAGACAGCTTGGGCTTCTTTATCACCTTCTCTTCCACTCCTAAGGACTTTCAGGTAAGGTTTTCAGTTCTACTGCCATCCTTTTAATGGCAAGAGTGTCCTACATCCTATCATCACTAAGGATATGTTTCTCTTAATTGAGCCTGTCTTCTCCAAATATTACCCATTCTAGAGATTCTTTTTTAATGCTTACATAGATTGGGGCCTTTCTCTACCCTGAAAATTTAGAACATGTGAAAGGGCAAAAAGTCAGAAAAATGTCATACATAAAAATAATGTTAATACCTTGGTGTGGTTCTTTCTCATTTCTCACCTCCATACTTATGTCTTTTATTTACAAAACATAGAAGTACTACTTATATGGGTAGTTTCTCCTCTAAGCATTTTCCTATTTTATAGGACCAGTCGTTCTAGAATTCTAGCCCCTGGTCCTAGCTGATTGGACGAAGTTGGGGGTCAGGTCTTAGGAGAGCTGTACCTGCTCTTTCTTTAGGATTCAATAAGGTGGCCTCAAAGAATGATGCTACAACATCACATCGAGGTGGAATTTGAATTTTCACTGGACACCTAAAACTTTATAGGAGATGGTGATTTGCAAGAGACAGGGAGGGGAGTCACAGAAGAAGAGATTGCAGGAGTCTACAGGGATTCCTTGTGTCCTGGCACTAAAACTTGCAGTGATTTTTTTGAGTTAGTCTTTGATTCTGTCCTTAAGTCTTTCTTGAATGAGAGCATTATCTGTGGGATTCTGATCTTTTACTAGCAATTCCTGGGTAAGATGACAATTTCATAACCTGCTTTTCTCACTTAATACTTCATCATTTTTTTTTTTTCCTGGATCATCAAGTGATAATTTTGGTGCTAGAGTGAGTTCTGTGACTGTTCTAAGATTTATGGTAGAAGTGCAATGTGGCTAACTAGTGGTGTTAAATAATGCTGAGTTCAAATGCCACTCTTGACACTTGTTGGCTATGTGATTTGAAGAAAGGATCTGCACACCCTGTGCCTCAGTTCCTTCATCTGTAAGATGGATCTACATGATTAGATGATATAATGAATCTAAGTTTCCTGAACATAATCTGTCACACAAGTAAGTAAGGGCTCAATAGATTCCATCATCATTATTAATAGTCATGATCTTAAATCCTCAGTTACTGCTCGTGTGGTAGCCTCCATATTTTCAACATTAGAAGCAAAACTGCAGTGAGTATACTAGCAGTTGGATATTCATGCATGGTTATTTCTTGAGATAAATGCCTAGAAATTGCATCATTGCATCAAAGATTATGGACTTACAAGAAGTTTTACAACATGTATTATCTTTGCTTTCCCTGGATCTTCTAAGTTGCTCACACTCCAGTCTTTACCATTTCCTTGTCCTTGTCCACAATTTCAGAGACAAGAGTCTCTTCCTGAATCTAGAATTTGCTCTGTGCTCACCTTCCAACAAAAATCAAAGCAGTGCCGCATCTCAAATTTGATTTGGGTTTTTTCAGGTAGATATCACTTATTTATTTACTGACTTGTAAAATAAGTATAGATTAAGCTTATGTATAGATTAAGTTTACAGATTAGGTTTATATTTTGAGAGCTGACTCCAGTGTCACTAACCATTGAATGAGCTTTGGCGCCCTAGTAGGAAGAGTGCCAGACAGTTTTAAGGTAGTCAGATATTGACCAAGACTCTCGACATGTATAAAATATTGCCTATTTAGAAATAGGGACATGGGGCCTCCATGGTGGCACAGGGGTTAAAGACATCGCTATCAAGCTATCCGCAGCTGCTGTAAGCACGAGTTCAATTCCCGGCCCGCCAGGGAGCTACCCACATGGCACAGCAGAACTCTTCTGTCTTGCCCGCTGTTCCCCTCAGCAGTGTACTTCAGTAGATCTGCCTATTCTGCTCCCCAGCTCTGTCTCTGGTGAATCCTCTCACCCCCTGCACCTCCTTCCTGTACCTCAGTTCTTGTATGCATAAATAAATCTTTGAAAAAATAGAAATAAGGACATTTGACATATGGATACTGCTTTTCTGACCTGCTTGGAATTATTTCCCACTTGCAGATCCTACCCTGGCTTCCAGGCACGGGAAATATCAGCAAGAAATTCAATGAGATATTTCTTTGAATTATCCACTGTGCCAGGAGCTGATAAAATGAAGATAACCTAACATTGTCCATATTCTTGAGGAGCAGAGGCTGTTGGAAGAGTAGATGCACAAATAATTGCTGTGCAAAGTTAGATTTGCTGGAAGGGAGGTGTGAGCTGTAAGGAAAACCCTCAGTAAGGTGGTCTCAGGGCTGGAGTCTGCATGTTATTGACTGTTTGGCCCCCAGAGGGTTTTGTTTGGCCCAGTGTTAGATCATTAATTTTTTTCTAGTTTCAACAGTTACCCACTGGATATTTCAGATAAACAAATGCAGATTTCAGCCTTGCCTTGAAAGAAAAGGAAGATTTGGCAATACCAATTCCTCCATTCATCACGGCAACAGTGAGAGCTGTCTAACCATTTAGCGTGGGTTCTTTTTTTAGCCACAGTCCCCTTCACTCCCTACTGAAGTACCTCATTTTGCTTCACTTATTTACGCTATCTGCGGGGCTTTGTGAGTTTGTTATCATTTACCTATCCACAGCATCTGCAGCACGAGTTCGATCCCCCAGCTGTCCAGAGAGCTGCCCACATGGCGCAGCAGACCTCTCCTGACACGCCCACTGCTCCCCTCAGCAGTGTATTTCAGTCAGTCTGCCTGCTCTGCTCCCCAATCTGTCTCTGGTGAATCCTCTCACCTTCCACACCGCTGGCCTGAACTCCAGTTCTTGCATGCATAAATAAATATTTTTTTAAAAAACAACTGGATATCTGATAGGAGAGCAGCTAAGAGATTCCTCTAGCATGCCTGACTTCACACGGGCACCTTACAAAGCACCTGATGGGCAGAAGCTCATTGAATCCTGACCCCAAGTTCTTGAGACCTGCACTTTTATTATCCCCACCAGATAAGAGGAGAAAATGCAGGTCGAAGGAGGTTAGTTAAGCGACTTCCCCCAGGTTACAATCAGGAAGTAGCAGAGCTGAGCTTGCCATTGAATCAGGTGGGTTCGTGATTCCCAGAGGGCATTCAGGTTTCAGGACTTTTTCCAGCACCAAAGTTGGGGTTGTCTGGGGAGGCTGCTGGGGGATCACTCAGTGGCTAGGCAAAGGACCAGAAGACCTTCACCGGGGATCACCAGCACCAGGCAGACAGCCCAGGGCTGGGTCAACGAGATCCTCCCTCACCAAACCACAGCCTTGGGAGTCTTTACTCCCACCTCTGCATTTCAGAGTTTTGTGCATATCCCCATAGAGCTGGGTGCATCTCACCCTATCTAGAGTATTTCAGGTTCCTAAAGGGCAGGAGGAATTATGCTTTATTTGCCTTAATATTTTTTTTTTTTGCATTGCTGAGCACAGCGCTTTCTTAAATGAATGAATTCCAAAATTATCTTTTCAGATCATTTCTCCTCGTGCGTGCATTTCAGAAACGAGCGACAAGTTAAACATGGTTTCTTTCAAAATACGAAAATAATTTCTTTACACATTCTACTTTAAAACTGTTTTCCAAAACGAGGAAAAGTAAGACAGGGAAGTTGTTTAAAAACGCAAACCCTTTTAAGAGTCAATGTCACATTTATTGCCATAAAATATTTTGCTCTGTCTGTGAGACATCTGGTTCCCATTACAGACAGTCCTGGGTACTTGAGTTCACCAGCCATTTTGCATACCAAGCAGCGCGCTTGTGAAATCCCCACACAGCCTCCGCCAGGACGTATCTGCACCAGGCAATTCTTCCAGACGACCCTGCTATCACCAACTTAATTCTTACCAACACACTTCCAAGGTTATTTTGTTCATACTTACCTTAAGGACCAAATTGCCTATGTCTGAGACATGAAGAACTTCAAAACCCTGGGGTGTTTGCTTTATGTCACGGTGTGGTCCAACTATCTATAATCTAGCACTGAAGTCAATGAAACATCTAAATCTTAAGTCTATATTTCCTAGGAACATTGACCCAGAAATGAGAAACACAATATGGAATGTTTGCTAATGAGTCATGAATTTCATTATAATTGCTTCCACATTCGGGATAGCTCCTTTAAACCATCTAATCTTGACATATCCTGCAACAATCCCATGTGTTGTAAATGATTTTGTTTTATTTCTTAGGTTACTGTTAAGGGCTTATTTTATGGTTCATTTCATTTTCTTAAAGAAAACCACACACGTGAGAGCGTGTGTGCACAAACACACACCCTGCGTCTGACATGCACCCACACACCACCGAGGTTCCGGCCTCCCTCTCTAGTTTTTTGAAATAAAATAATTATGAACCCAAAAGGAAGCTTCGTCCTTTGGTTTGGAAATAAAAATAAACACATTGAGGAAGAACATTGAAATATGGTCTATGTTCGAGTTCTAATTCAGGTTTCTAAGAGTGAAAGCTAGAATGACCTACGTTCCTCTCTCTCCCTGCATTTGAGACTCCGAGCAGAATGGACAGAAGCAACCAGCACTCAGTACAGTAATAATGGGAAATTAAGTATGACTTTTAAAAACTGCTCACATTATAAAGTGATCTATTAGTATCATATGACTTTGGTGCTTAAAGTGACTGATTCTAATTGCATGATTTGGCTCATGACAAGTGTTAAAGAGGCTGCAGAATCTTCCGGGTATTTTATCTCTTTTAGGAGATTTTTAAAGTGAATTTTCTTTGGAATACAGTTTGTTCTTGCCACACAGAGATGGTGTGGAAATAATCTCTCAGTTCTGGTAGAAACAGGGGTAATTATAGTTTCTTCTTCTCTGAATCCTGAATCAATAATCCAAATATTACATTCTTATGGTTCTTTCCCCTCCCTTTTCTTGATTAAGAGAAACTCTGTCTTTTTAGCTTAGGGATGTTTCCCCCAAGTGAAGGTGGATGCCTTTCTCTAATGAGGGATTTTAGCAATCAAGGAGGTGGTCTCTTCCTGCGCCTGGTTATCATCCTATGTCCTTGGGAATCTTTTCT